GAGGCTGTCAATAAAGTCTGAGAGGACAACGTATGATCATAATGTTATGAAGATATTTCTTTCTTATGCACTTATTATTTATTTTTAGTAACTTTTAATTTTGATATAATTTCAAACTTATAGAAAAGTTGCAAGAACATCACAAAGAACTCTCATTTACCCAAATTCTCCGATTATGAACACTTTACCACATTTGCTCTATTATTTTCCTCTCTCTTTCTCCCTCTCTCTTTCTGTCTTTTTTCCTTGAACCATTTGAGAGTAAGGTGCAGACATTGATGCCCCTTTACTTCTAAATAAAGTGAAAGTTATTTTGATGGGACACTAGAATAATACAGTGTAGCCTGTGGCTTTCACTAATACCAGACTATATGGAAAGAGCTTAGTGGGGCAATCAGGTTGGAAGGGGAGAGGGCTAAGAAACTTGTCTTAAGCTGCACTGACTTAGCAAGTGACTGTCTTTTTCTTAGATTTACTTAGGTCAATAAAATTAGCAAAATCTTCCAAAGCAACTTCTACCCACACTTTCCACAGGATTGAGAAAAACATCAATTGGCCACATCAAATAATATTAATGGAACGGGGGATGACTTGGGTAGGTAATGCTCCTGGCCCCAACTGCCCCATCCAAGACACCTCAGGACCACCACTGCTTAATACAAAGGCAGAGAATCCAGAGGATCATTGCTAGCACGCGCAGTGCTTCATCGACTCGAAAACATATTTTTTAAAAAACATTTTAACATCTCTGAAATCAGAATAGGTCTTACAATCAATGACATAATTACAATTGGCAACCCCCCACCTTTATATTAGTACATAAAATAATGGTGCATCCTATGAATGATAGCTTTTTAGATCGGATGAAATAAGGTATATTTTTTTAGCTCTGTGGTTCTCAGCCTGTGTATTACCAGGAGGAAGAAAGCAAAAGCAAGTCAGGTTCGGCACAGGGTTTTGGTATTAACGCCTAAGAATTCGCTCAATTGCCAGCACCTGATGTGCAGTATCCTGCAGTCCCTCCCTCTGCCATACTCTTAGTCACCTTGCATACTTGGTGTGTCTCCTATTCCTGTTTCTCCTGCCTACCAACACGTGTGTGATTACTGATTGCTGCCCACCAAACACGTGAAGGACTTGCCAGACTGCTGCTTCTTCTCCACCCTCCACTCAAGCGTGTGTGTGTGTGTGTGTGTGTGTGTGTGTGTGTGTTTGCAGGGGGTTGGAAGAGCCCATAAAATCGACACAGGAATTAGGCCAGAGAGAAAGCCCATGAAGAAAACCAACTTCTAGCTTGATGACATAGGGCCTTTCTTGACCTTAGTCACACATGTATCTATCTCGTTTGCTGATTTAAACTAATAATAATAGACTTGGGTTATCCTCCAACATGAAAGAGAGCGATGGACAGAAGTGGGATACATGTGGACTGACAGAGCTCTTATCTTTGGCTTCCGAGCATGTTTCCCTCAGCCCCCATCCCTCTTTTTCTGATAACCGACGTAGTCCATTGGCCACAGGGGTGGCCCGATGCTGGCCTGGCACATCAGAGTCCTTCCAGGGGCCTGTGTAATGACCTTGGACAGGAGATGTTCTCTTTTTCTTGGGGTGGTTAATTTGAGGCTGCCTATGGCCAGCTTTCCCACCATGTGGAGTCTGCAGAACAAAGCCCAAGCAGAGACCAACATAACAGAGATCAAGGAGAGCAGCCCCAGGTCCTTCCACCCTGTAAGGTACCACAGTTATCTTTCCCTGTACATGAGCTACTGCATTCTTGTCCTGCTTAAACGAGCTTACGCTGGACTTCTGTTCTTTGTGTGTGTGTGTGTGAGGAAGATCAGCCCTGAGCTAACATCTGCCAATCCTCCTCTTTTGTTGCCGAGGAAGACTGGCCCTGGGCTAACATCTGTGCCCATCTTCCTCCACTTTATATGGGACGCCACCACAGCATGGCTTGCCAAGCAGTGTTGTCAGTGCGCGCCTAGGATCCGAACTGGCGAACCCCAGGCCGCTGCGGCGGAGTGCGCGTGCTTAACCGCTTGCGCCACCTGGCCGGCCCCTGGACTTCTGTTCTTTAGAATCAATACAATACAAGTTATTCTAAACCTCTAATTTAAACTACCTCTCTTGCTTAGCTGTTCTTTTGAAAGTTATTTGCACCAAACAATTGAAGTTTGAGATTTGAGAGGGTGAAATCCTCATATTCTATGCTGTTGTCTGAAAGGAGATCCCTGGGCCTTAGATACTGGCTTTAGTTGAGAAGTTGTGATACTTAAAGAGCCTGGTGTGGATTCTCGCTAGAGGGAGGGTCCCACCTTGAGCTGGATCAGGGGTACCCACAGGCCACTGTGGATTTACTCTGTGTCTTCATCAAGTACCAGATGGGTCCTCCAACAGAGATCTACACCACAAAGCCTAGGCCTGCAGATTCTGATGGTGTTACCACAGCCAGTCAGTTTGGTCTGCCATAATTGATAAGGGCTTACTTTTCTGACAGCATTTGCCCAACTGGTTCCTCTGTTTAAGGCATGTCCTAGAACAAGAGCTGAGCGCAAGGCACCATAGCTTGGAGGATATGCTTGAACTATTTGCTGTGGCAGAAGGTATGCATTTAGTTTATCCAAATACTATATGGCATTATTCAGGAACTAAACAGGAGGTCTTAGAAACACTCTTGTTTTGTACTTTTTAAGATAGGACTTGACTTGGTTTAAAGGCAACCTCTATCCACTCTGATGCTGTGGTAGAGATACGGTGATAAAAGCTTTCAGGAATGTTGATAGCTCAGAATTGGCATTAGCCCCTAGATAGTTCCCATCCACTAAATTAAAGTCTAGCGAGAGACTGATGTGTGCACAGTCTTGAATTATTAGGCAAGGGTCCTGCTAAAGCTGGACAATGTAAGAATGTTATGAAACTCATTTCAAAGGATATGTAAGCCATGCTTATTCACCCAGTTGCTCCAAAACTAACTTCATCCTGGATCTGAGTACTCTATCATACTATGTGAAATCATTTCCAGGGAACCTCTCAAAAGCTGCTGAATAGAGACTTGTACAAAAAGGCATTTTTCTTATCAGGTCAGATATTTTATTGTTGGTTTCAATTTCTCAAGAAGTCAGACTCTTTTCGGACACCATTTTATTTTTCTTTAAAATTAAACCAGTTATTCCAAGGTCAACTATGAGGCACAGTCCACAGGCCTCCCTCATTCAAAACCAATTTAATTGCCAAAGGTGAGTATGCCATTTCTTCTTTGTGATCCTCAGAATCCTCATTTCCGTTAAAAAAAACTACTTTAAAAAATTTTTCCACTTTTTAAAAAAAGGTAAGCAGGAAAGAAGGCATTTGTGCCTTTTATCCGAGGATTTTTTTGCATAAATTTGTAGGATAAATCTGGAGTGGGACTTCATGGGTTCAAATTCTGGCTTTACTTCTTGAGAGAGGGAAGATGGGGAGGGGAGAAAACCAGCCCACTTTGTCCACGCAAGCATTTCAATCATTTTCTTGAGAGAAGAATCATTTAAAATTCTATTGTAGGATCCTAATTGTATTATTATAGTGTGTATGATCCTGGGTAAGTCACATAATCTCTCTGAACCCTAGTTTCCTCATCTGTAAACAGGGAAACAATAGAGATTCACAGGGCAGGTAAAACTCAAAGCACAGGGTTGTCACGTGGTAAACATGCTACTTTTATATTTACACCTGATGACCCCGGAGGCCCAGAGATACAATTCCTACCTGGTTAACTCCCAAACATCCCACCCCTCCCCCCGGGCTCGCCCTTTCTCCAGCCTTGCGCAGAAGACTTTTTCTCTCCAGGGTCTTGAAAATACATCGTGCCAGCCAACAGGGAAGACTAAAGCCGGCCAGGGAGGCTACCGCTGGCCCGGGCGCCTCCCGCTTCCCCTTGGAAGACAGCGTCCCCATCTCGAGCGCCTTCGGGTGGCGGCCCCGGCGTCGGCCTCGCCGGCCCGGCGGGCGCGGCCGTGCGTGCGCCGCGGAGGGTGGTGGCGGCCCGCACCCCGCCCCCGCCGCCGCCTCGGCGTGTCAGGTGCCGTGAGAAGCGCCGAGGGATATGACTGGAGCCGACTTTCCAGAAGCGGCGCACGCAAGGCACAGCTCCGCACGCAAGGGGGAGGCGACAAGAGGAAACTTTTCAACCCGATAAAGTTCGCAGGCGCGCGGAGATTTGCCTCCTCCTACCCCCTCCCCCAGGATGCTTCAGAGCGCCCTCCCTGCCCCCCCCGCCCCACTGTTCGCCCCAGCTCGGCTCCGGGCCCCGTGCCAAGGGCCTCGGAGGCGGCCAGCGCGGCCCGGCGCCCTCCAGTGGGCGGCGCCACCTGGAGGAGTTTCTACGCGGGAAACCTCAGGGCCAGCTGCGCCCCGCCAGTGCTGGCCTTTGTGTGCCAAGGACGGTCGGGGCCCCGGGGCCGGGGAGCGGCGGCTCTCAGGGATTCTTGATCTCGCCGCTCGAGGGGGAAGGAGAACTTGGCGCGCCAAAGGGTCTCATCTGAGGGGCCGATTTGTTTGCGAGAACGTTAAGATAAAGTTAAATAGGGAGGCTGTAAGACAAACCGCCACCGCAAATCGAACTTTCCCCGTTTCCAAACTGACAGGTTTCCTTTCCCGGCTCGGGCGCCCAAGCATCCCGAGAAGTTTTCTCTCAGGGAACGAAGCTCAAGTCACCCAAAGGAAAGGGAGGTTCGGGGCGCGGGGCGCGCTCCCACGGACAGCGCAGCGGGATGCGCAGGTTCTGTCCGGAGCGCGCTTCCAGGGAAACCGCGCGGCCTCGATCGGGGGTGACTGGGATAAAGAGCGGTTTTCGGGCAAACGAAAAGTTCACGCCGCCGCGTCTAGTAACGCCGCCAGCTACTTCGCCGAGCCGTCGGGGTGCGCCAGGGCCGCCTTGCGTGACCGTCCGCTCGCCGCCACCCCAGTGGGCGTCCGAACTGCGTGGACTGTCCCGGCGCGCCCCGCCTCCTGCCCCAGCCCCGCCTCCGCCAGGTCCGGCTGTCTCCTCCCTCCACACAGACCTTAAAAACGGGATGGCGCGTTTTGACTCTCTGGGGTGACTGTGCAAACCGGCCACGCCTCTGCGACACCAGCTGTCAGAGCCGCGCGTGGGGCGCGAGGGCTGGGAATCGACTCCACTCATCGACCCCCAATCTCAATCCTCACGCTGTGAGAAAACTCCGACTTTGCCGAGGCCCCAGGTGCAGCGGGGCTCGGCCAAGGAGGCACCTTTCTCTGTCCCCATTCCAATCCAAGCGCCCCTAGCTCTGACGACGCCTAGAGACTCCAGAGTGGGTGCTAAAGCTCCCAGAGCTTGCAGCAGGTGTCCGGGGCGGGCCTCCGACTTTCCGGAGACAGTCAGGTTGAGGTCTTGCCCTCCCCAAAGCCCCAGCCCCTTCTTGGAGCTGGCCGTCCCGCGCCGCTGGAAACCGTGCCTCCTCGCAGGTCAGTCTGTCCGCGAAGCCACCTCTTGTGATGGGTTCTCGCAGATCGGGGGTAGGGTGGGGCGCAGGGGCAGGCACTTAGAGGAAACTGAGCTCCACCGCCTCGACTCCCGCCGTGTTGTCCCCGAATTGCAGGAACCGTTACGAGACTGGTGGAGACGGAGAGGCTAGGTCACAAAGAAGCGGAAACACGTCCCTTCTTTTCTCCTTTGGGGAGTGGGTTTGGGATGGGAAGGGATGTGTTCAGCTGCTTCTGCAGTGAGCCAGCCCTGACTTGACTACGCACTACCTTCTCCTTACCCAGCAGCGCATGGTAGCCGGAGGCCGGGGGTAGGGGCGTGGGGCCTGCTCCTTTCTCTGCACACCTGAGTGTCACGCCTTCGCCCTTATTTCTCCAGCATGGCCACTAGCCTCAGCCTGGACGATCCTCTACTGCCAGTCTCGCTGTCCACCCAGCAGACCACGCTCCTACTGCTCCTCTCGGTGCTAGCCGCCGTGCACGTGGGCCAGCGGCTGCTTAGGCAGCGGCGGCGACAGCCAGGGTCCGCGCCCCCCGGTCCCTTTGCGTGGCCGCTGATCGGAAACGCGGCGGCTGTGGGCCCGGCGCCGCACCTCTCATTCGCGCGCCTGGCGCGGCGCTATGGCGACGTCTTCCAGATCCATCTGGGCAGCTGCCCGGTAGTGGTGCTGAACGGCGAGCGCGCCATCCGCCAGGCCCTGGTGCAGCAGGGCGCTGCCTTCGCCGACCGGCCACCCTTCGCCTCTTTCCGCGTGGTGTGTGGCGGCCGCAGCCTGGCTTTCGGCCGGTACTCGGAGCGCTGGAAGACGCAGCGGCGCACAGCGCAAACCACGATGCGAGCCTTCGCCACGCGCCAGCCGCGCAGCCGCCTCGTCCTCGAGGGCCACGTGCTAGGCGAGGCGCGCGAGTTGGTCGCGCTGCTGGTGCGCGGCAGCGCGGGCGGCGCCTTCCTCGACCCGCGGCCGCTGACCTTGGTGGCCGTGGCCAACGTCATGAGCGCCGCGTGCTTCGGCTGCCGCTACAGCCACGACGACGCCGAGTTCCGAAAGCTGCTCTGCCACAACGAGGAGTTCGGGCGCACGGTGGGCGCAGGCAGCCTGGTGGACGTGCTGCCCTGGCTGCAGCGCTTCCCCAACCCGGTGCGCACCGCCTTCCGTGAATTCGAGCAGTTCAACCGCAACTTCAGCAACTTCGTCCTCGCCAAGTTCCTGCGGCACCGTGAAAACCTTCGGCCCGGGGCCGCCCCCCGAGACTTGATGGACGCCTTCCTCCTCTCGGCGGGAAAGGAGGCGGCTGAGGGCTCGGGCGGCGGCGGCGCGCGGCTAGACGTGGAGTACGTGCCGGCCACTATCACCGACATCTTTGGCGCCAGCCAGGACACTCTCTCCACCGCGCTGCAGTGGCTGCTCATCCTTTTCACCAGGTAAAGCCTCCAGGAGGCGTGGGTCGGGCCTTCCTTTCTTCCTGTGTTAAAGGCGGATGGGACCAGAATATGCTTAGGTCGCGACCAGCGCGCAGGGTTTAGGGTTTCGCGCCGGGTCCCACCTCTCAAATCTGAGATCACGTCCTGAGAGCGCAGCTCAGGAAGGCACAGTGCTGGCGGAGACACGCGCACACCCACCCAACGGGGCCCAGACCGCTCAGCATCTCTGGTCTTGTCGCTGGCTCTCCGAGTGGGGACAAATTTGTGAGAAAGCCCTTGGAAAAACAAGGTTTTTTAAGCGCCCGCACGTCAGCCCTGATCTCTTCCTCCTTGGCACAAGAGAAGCAAAATTGGAACGGTTCCGAAAGAAAGGGTAAGGCAGTAAATATGTTCAAGAAATACAGCAGCCTTATCGGCTTGGTCAGTCATCGGCGCGGATCAGAGATCGCCCAGCCCCGGCGCTCAAAGCCAGTCGTGGGTCCGGGCTTTGTTCCCTGGCAAAGGAAGCGCGCGGAGGCGGCCCGGGGGCCAGAGGGTCTGGCCCAGCGGGCAGTTAACCCTCACGGAAGCCTTGGGAAGGCGATCAGAACCCAGCGGGTTGTGCTGGAGTTATGAAACCGCCGCACTAGGAGAAGGAAAAGTGTCAGGGTAAAAAGGCAGAGAAGCAATACTTTTACCGAGCGCAGAGCAGCATCTAGAATGGCAAACAGGGTATCCAGGAGGCGCCGCGGACCTCTCTGGCCCCTGGGCCTGGCTGGGTTGGTTAGCTGGTCCCCAGTGCCCACCTTGATTAAGATCGCAGAGCTCTCCGAAGCTCTCTGCATGCAGGAATTAAACAGGTTCCCGGTATCAAGTGTTGCCAGATTTAGCAAATAAAAAATAAATTTTACATAGTACATGCTTATACTAAAAGATTAGCCATTGCTTATCTGAAATTCAGATTTAACTGGGCAGCCTGTATTTTATCTGGCAACCCTGCGCCAGGGGCAAATGTCTTGCTCAAGGCAAATCTTGATTGCCTTGAGAGACCTGGTTGTGCCACTTCTTGGCACACATATAAGCAGTGGGGGATGCTGAATTTGCTGGAGCCCCAGATATTGGAAGGCAAAGACAGCTTCTTTTCATATTAGAATCCACTGCAACCTATATTTCCTTAGATACTGTACAGTTACTTTCACAAATTGAATTTTTGTGTGTATTTAAAATCGCTTTTCCGTGTTAAGATGATAGAAACACGTAGGAGGGGTGAACAGAAATCGAATAAAGAGAGGTGGGTAATAGGTCAGGAAGAAGACATTCCAAAATGGGATCATAGGTCCTTTGCATCCCCAGATAAGCATGTTGTCTTTTGAAACGGCGTTTCTTTCTTTTTCATTAGAAACCAAAGCGGGCAGCAAAAGGAAATAAAACAATTTGGGGGTCACTTTCGATTCAATATAGCTGATGAGTACGTTTTTCTTCTTTTTAGTGAAAAGATAATATGACAGAGGTTGGCAAATTACATTACCTATTTTTGTACATAAGTTTTGTCGAAATACACCCATGCGCCTTCATTGTCTGTGGCTGGTTTCACACTGCAGCACAAGGCAGAGTTGAACGGTCGCCACAGAGAGGGTTGGGTCTGGTCGCAAAGCCTAAAATATTTGCTATCTGGCCCTTGATGAAACAGTTTGCAGACCCCTGAAATATGAGGCTAATGAAGCGATTTTTAAAGCACGGATACTTTCATCACATGCATGCTTACATTTTTTTCAGAGTTGCAATAATTATTTACTTTCTTTTTTGTTTTACTTCTGACATTTCCATTTATTGTAATGGACATTTTTCCTTTTAAACTTTATTTTAGTAACTTTTGATTGCTACATATTTTGCCGTAATAACATATTGTTATATATAATTATTTCTTGAGCTTCAACGTTGTTGATTGCATTTTTAAAATTTTCAGCTGTTGTTGTCGTTATATATTTTTGTACCTGTTATTTCCTGAAAATACGTTTCTAGACATGGGTTTAAAAGGAGTGGGGAGAGGTTACCCTTATGGATCTTGCTTGGTACTAAGATTTTGTTTTCCAAAAGGATTGTACTATGTAGTGTATATCGCCAACAGTGAACAAGTATTACAATTTGTACCATAATCTCATGAACGTTGGGAATTTGCTATTAAATTTAGAAGACGTAGCTTTATCTATCAGGATACCAATTATCTTTGTATAAAATACAAACAGCGTGTCTGCTGGAATTGTCTAGGGAGAGGAGGAAAAAAAAAGGATCCACTTGCAGGGCTGCATTTTAACTTTTACAGGCCCAGGGTATTTTTGCCTTCGTAGATTCTTTACTCCATAAAAAATTTTTTCAATTTTTATTTTATGACTACATTGGTGTAAGGATAAATATATCAAAATTATATATTAAAACATTTTCCTCAACCTAAAAGTTCAGTTTTTTCTTCTGATTTTAAAAGAAATGAAAATATTTTTGTGGGCCCTTGAAAAGTATTGTGTGTCCTAGGCACTGTGCGTGCTGTGCCTAGCAGAGAAGTCAGCCTCGGTCATTATTGTGCTTTTTCAGACTCAGAAAACTTAGATTTTTTTGACTTATGATAGGAAAGAGAGTATTAGCCACGTGAGGCTTATTACAGGAAATTTAACTATTAATTCATCCATCTTGTAAATTAGTGAGAAATTAGAAAACTGCTCTAGATGGGTCTTTTTGGCCGGAAACGTTAATTCAGTCACTGATTCAGATAAAGAAAGTGGAATTAAAATAAATTATAATGTGCTTTCTGGATGAAGAAGAATTAATTTTCCTCACTTGTTTTCTCCCTGCGTATTGAAACCAAACAGGTATCCTGAAGTGCAGGCTCGGGTCCAGGCAGAACTGGATCAAGTCGTGGGTAGGGACCGTCTGCCCTGCCTGGACGACCAGCCCAACCTGCCCTACGTCATGGCCTTTCTCTATGAAGCCATGCGCTTCTCCAGCTTTGTGCCCATCACCATTCCTCACGCCACCACTGCCAATGCCTCTGTCTTGGGCTACCACATTCCCAAGGACACGGTGGTTTTTGTTAACCAGTGGTCTGTGAATCACGACCCAGTGAAGTGGCCTAACCCGGAGGACTTTGATCCAGCCCGGTTCTTGGACAAGGACGGCTTCATCAACAAGGACCTAGCCAGCAGCGTGATGATTTTTTCAGTGGGCAGACGGCGGTGCATCGGGGAAGAGCTTTCCAAGATGCAGCTGTTTCTCTTCATCTCCATCCTGGCTCACGAGTGCAATATCAAGGCCAATCCAGACGAGTCCCCGAAAATAGATTTTAGTTACGGCCTGACCATTAAACCCAAGTCATTTAAAATCAATGTCACTCTCAGAGAGTCCATGGAGCTCCTTGATAGTGCTGTCCAAAAGTTACAGGCTGAGGAAGACTGCCAGGGAGAAGCCAGAAACAAGTTGAAATTTTAGAAGTACTCAACTTTTGAGGGATGGGGAGTAAAATTTTCTGGCTCCCCTGTGCCACTTTCTCAATTAGCCTAACGTAAGCATAAACCAATTGTAGACGATGTGCCTCACACTCGTGTGCTCAGATGAGCGCTGGGCTATGCAGGGGCTCTGGGAAGATCTTTTGAGTCAAAGAGTTAAAGGGCCCCCCAATTTTTATACAACTATCAAATGCTGGTAATAATTTCTTATAGGAGCATTCTTTGGAATTAAAACACACATGCACACACACACAAAACTACCATTAGGTAGAGGTATCTCAGTAATTATGCTTTCGAGGGTGGAATCCGAGATTGATGTTCTGTGTGCTGAAATCTGCCCCATAGAAAACCGTATTAAGCAAAGTTCAGAATGTATTGTTGAATACGCAAAGGCAAATAATTTCAGTGTAAGACGTGTGATTGAGGGTGATAAAGGAAAAGGTGAAGACCAGAAATTCTCTTCTCACCTTTTCCGTAAAATCGCTTAGTTCGGCTCTAGTATCTATGGATGGAGTTATCGTTTTGCCTACTGGTGTGCTTTTGCTTACATTTTTGGATGAGTTATAAAGTCATTTTCTCAAATAGAAATTAATAGTAGTTGATTTAGTGATTATAGTGGGTTTCAGTGATTTATTAAGAATTTTAAAGGCTAAGTTGTTAAATAGTAAAAAAAAAAATCCAAGCTGAAGTCATATCTCTCTTGGTTGCCAAAGTACAGAATTTCAATTATAAGAAAAAAAAAAGGATTTACCAGCCAAGCTAAGCTTTAAACTATGTGATTGTAATGCACTGATTTCAATGTCTCACATGTTAACATAAAAGTCCACAAATAGTATTCAGTATGTATGCATACATAGTTATTCATAAGCAACATGTATTAGTTATTTTATTATTAAATAGTTAGTATTCATTATTTTGGTCAAGAAAAGGTTGAATAATGTATGTCTTTTATAATGTCATAGCAAATCAAAAAGTACAACCAATTCAATCAGTTTTGGCTCAAATACATGAAATGAGCTTGATTAAATCAATTGCCTAGTTTTGACATCCTGGAAGCCAAGTTGAAGCAAAGTCTCTTCTCTCATCCAAAACTTGAATGAGAACTGAAAAAAATCTCAAAATTGGATCCGTGAGATGTCTTCCTTATTACTTTATAATATATTTATTAAAATTATGTTCATAACACAGAATATCTTTTTGAAATTGTTCTAGTTAATATGTTAAAATTCCAAACTTTTGGCATGCTTAAATTTTAATTTTAAAGCCATTCTGATTATTGAGTTCCAGTTGAAGTTAGTGGAAGTCTGGCCATTATCCTGCAGAAGGCAGAGAAATGTAACCTGTGTCTGCTTGATTAACGGTGAAAAATGCAATGAATTATCTGGATGTTCTCTTTATTAGGTAACAAGGGGGAAAATTCCCATCATAACTGACCTAGTTTCTCTTGTAAATGATTTTTTTTTTAAGTAGCATGAAAGTCTGTGTTTTGCAAAGTCAGGATCAGAAGACAGTCTTGGGAGGCTGTTTGGAAGATTGTGTTGTGTTCCAGGGGAGCTGATCAGATCAGTTGTGCTATTTAAGATGGCCAACCCAGTGAGCAGTCACTTTGGTAACTTAAAAACATAAAGCGTCAACAAAATGTCTACATTCAGTTTATGTAAATAACCTGAAAACCTTAAAAAAAGTGATGGAAGATTGCAAAAGTGCCAAGTGAAGTTTGAAATTGTTACTTTCATTGCATGTAAACATCCCAAGGAAGTTGTACAGTGTCCTAAAAGCTTACTGCTTGTTACATTTTATGACTCTTTTTGGAATCTTTTTATCAAAGTTACAAAGGAAGGAGTATATGATGGTTGTGTGGGGGTGGTAAGAGAAAAGAGTGAAGAAAGGAAAAGGAAGAAAGATGGGTAAATATTTCTCCACTCGCTCCAAATTAATTCATTTAAAGCACAAAATTTGAAGCATGAACATTTAGAAATAAGATGTTTCATGTGATAATGTTAAATCCCAAATGTACTTTAAAAAAAAAATCTACAACATATAGATCTGTTTTGTAATTTGGGATTTTTTATTAATAAAAATTTTATGTAGTTTTAATTAATAAAATCTCATAGCTGTACATCTTGAAAATGAAAAACTGTGCCAGTCTTTTTAAGGCACTAAAGTTGGCTAGGGAAATCACGCTTACACAATACATTTAAATTTTTTTGGCACTTGCTATTCTGAAACATTGTGAAACACCCAGGCCCCCCCCCACCCCCCGCAGCATTTAGTTTGTGATTTTGGGCTGCTGTAGCCTACTTACTCTGATTGAGAGATGTGCAGCAGCAACAGCAATCATGTATCAATCTGGATGCCTCATTAAATCAACCAGGAGCATATGTGCCATCATCTGTGTCTGTGTGTGTAGGCTCAGTTCATCTGGCACTTTCATCTGTGGGAAAAAACTGCTTATGTGAAAGAAAGTAAGGTGGGCGCTTGGAGGTTCCCTGGCTTATTTGATATGTTTATAACCTAGTTAAAGGAAGGAAAGCAAAACCAAAAACAAACAGAAATAACCGAATTTGGGGGCTACAGTAAACAGATTACTGGCTTAATTGGAAAACCTCATTTTACTTCTGCCAGAGAAAGAATGTATTTGCTGGTTACCCTTAAAGTCAGAACATCTACTCCAGGTTACTGCAATAGTTAAGGTATATTGTGTATTAAATGCTTAATTTGTATGTTAAAGCTTTGAGTTTGTAACAAAATTGCTTTTTTCCAAAACAAAAAGATTTCTCAGGTTTGTTTTGCGGATTATCGAAAAGCTTTCTTGTCTCAGAACTTAGCCTTTACCTGTGAAATATTATTACAGCATTAATATTTTCATATTAGATCTATATTAGATCAAATAGTTTCATAGTATTATATATTAATTTGTATAATTTTAGCTATGACACAACTGTGTGCTAAGAAGCTACACTTTAGTAGATGTTTGTAATTCAAGAATCATTCTTATTTAACCTTTTCTTATTTTTGTATTTTATCATGTATGCTTTTAATATGTATACAACTATAATACATGATTGTAACTGAAATAGATTTTTAGGACACAGCATTAATATGTAGCTTTTACTATTTGATATACCAAATTAAAAAAATTCTGTATCTCTAGTTACCTGTAATAATAGGACACATTACCAAAATAATAAAAATCACTTTCATAATCTTATCATGAAGTTATACTTTATGTTGTAGCAAATATAGTCTAATGCATCAATTCATTTCAACTACTGTTTATAAGTGCTTGAATTAAAATGTTGCGTGGTAAACATTTTATTTGGCCATTGTACATTTTAGGATTTTAGGCAGCTTGCTTTTTTTTTTTTTTTCCAATAGGCTTTCAGCATCCAGCTTCCTACCAAATTTCTGATCTCTGAATTTTTGGATTTATAAGAACCAACATAGAAGTTAAATTTCAATGGCAAACCATCTAGCAAAGTAGGAATTAATTTGTAATTTTTTTAAATTTGCAATTTTGAAAGATTGAATAGATCAAGACTTTAAGACTCTGAATTTATATTTCTGCTTCATACAAAAAATGCAGGACATTTTTTTCCTGTAAGCAACACAACACACTAATCCTTTCCTTCAGCATTGCATTCATTCTTTTTTTTTTCTGACATGAAAGCCTTTGTTTTTCATTTGATTGATACACATTCATTCATTCATTTTTTTAAGGTACATGTGCCTTAATTAATAAGTACAATTAATGTCCAATAAAGTAGGCTAGATGAGAGTACTTTACCTGGTTAAAGACTTGACTTCACAGGGCCCCTGCTGTGTCTCTCCAGGCTTTCACTGTCCCCTACCCCCACAGATGACGCTGGACAGTGCCAAGAGCCCTTACTTCTTCCAGACTTGAGCTCCCATTACTGTGAAAATAGGAAAAGAAATCATGAAGTAACATTGCACACAATGTTATTGATACTTTGGCTTAAGAACATCACTTTAGCAGCCAAAAGGTATGGCTATGAATTGCTTTAAGAGAACGGTGTTTTCCAATGTACTAACACAGAATATTGGAAATAGTCATAAAGGTTCAGGACAAGTGAAGTAAATATTTTCATAGGAAAAAATTTCTTTAACAGAATCATAATTGGGGTCAGTTGTTTGCAAAAATGTCAAGTGGAGTTGGATTCTACCCAATCAATCCATGAGAATATAAGACCGGAGTGCAGGGTGACGAATGCAACTTTGGACATAAGACAGGTGTGGTTGCAAACTCATAGAGGTGGTTTCTATAACCTCAAAGCCAGTCAATTTTCTGCACAAGTGCTGCAGAAATTTTGGCTGTTAACTCTCCCTTATTTTGGCTCAGTGACTCACATATTCTCTGCTCTTCAGTTTTGACCCAGTAGTTACAATCCTCAGAGAAGAGAAGAGAAGAGAAGAGAAAGAAAAGAAATTAATGTATTCGAATATGTTTAGAAGCAATTGTTTTTAATGGGCAAGATTGGAAGGAAATAATCTAGTTTAAACAGGTGTGGGCAAGCTATAGGTAAACAACAGTTTATGCTTGTAGCGCCTTGAGTGGCTTACACACAGGTGCGTGGTGTCCATTAACACTTCTCAACATGTGTCAGGTATGAGGGGAAGAAATGGAAGCTAAAATATGTTGAGCACTTATGATGTGTGGATCACCATGCTAAGCGCTTGAATACATTATCACCCAACAATCCTATGAGGGAGGCAGTAATGCAACGTGCCAAAATAAAACATTTAGAAGTGGCAGTGTTTGGATTTTCCCTAGAGGTGAACTGACTCCAAAGCCCGTTGTCTTCGTACTATATAGCTTGTCACTCCCCCAACTGCCCGTGTTTGGGTATACAGTCTAGTCTGCCTGTCTTTCACTCTCTCTGATCCTTGGAGTTTCATAAGCAATATTCCTCCTTTGTCTAGGGCACATTCCACGCTACCATCAGAGAGTAACTGACATTGTGAAGTGGCAGCAAGGCTCACAACACTCCTCTTTTCTGAGAAAAACATCCTGAAGCTGTTCCTTTTGCAAAACAAAAACAAAAACACCCATGCTTTGTCTTATAATCCTGAAACTTCTGTCCTATCATCTGTTTGGGCCAGGGATCTTTGCCTGAGCTAAAGGCCATCCAGAGGTTGGACCAGTTGCCTGTATCACCTGATTCGAGAACTCTGTCGAGAACACCACCCTGGCTATTGGCTCGTGTGACCAGTCAGAACGTTTCCCGCTCTCAGAGACCTTGAGCAGGACAAACGCTGGGTGCACTGGCTGGAGAGAGAGAGAGAGCTCGGAAGTAAGCCTGAGACAGGCAGGACAGGAGCCCACCTCTGAAAACAGCGTGACTGGGGCTGCTGGAACTGGTTTTGGATCCCTTCAGGTGACAGAAAGGCTAAATAAGCTAACTACCTAAATATTATCCTAAATAAACAACACAGTATTACAAGACCTGACAGCCCCTGAGATCCCTTCTGGTCAGGGCTGAGAGTCACTCCACAAGCCTGAAAAATCTTTCAGCATCTTTTTAAAATTTTTAATTTTGTTTTTACTCCTATTCGCCTACTTTTATTTCTCTCCCTCTCCCTCTCAATTGTTTCTGTCCCTCTCAATAGTGTTTAATGTGTACTTTTTGTCAGTATGTGTTCCAGCAAAATTTGTATTATTGTTTTGTATACATGTGTTTTTAATTTGTGTAAATGCTGTATGTATTTCATGCTGTTGCCTCATCTTAGCACAATATTTTAAAGTTCCTGTCTAATCCCATGGCTTCTAACTGCTGCCTAGTAGTCCATGGTATTCATCACCACATTTTCTCTACCCAGTCTCTCAGGAATGGGCACCTAGATGGCCTCCAACGTCATGTGTCACCAGAGAATGCTGCAAGCAACATCCTTGTACATATTCCCCTGTAGACCTGTGAAAAATTTGCAATACACACCATACCCATGATTAGAATTGTTAGATCAGCAAGTCTTTGTCTATACAATTTAAGTACTGCAAACATGTTCTCCAGAATGCCGAACCAGCCCATATTCCCATCAACTATGCGTGAGGGTACCACTATACCTGCCTCCCCACCAATACACGGCATGACCTCATTATTTTTAAATGAAGTATACCTTCTTGTGAGGGTCAATGCATTAAATAGATTTTTCTAACTAGGAAAAAAAAAAAAGGACAACTACACTCAATTTTCGACTCTTCCTGTAGCTATATTTCTGTTTCTAACACATCTCCTCCCTTAGATGGTACGTTCATGGAAGCAGGGACTGGATGGATCCCGATGCCTTTGTTACTGAACGATACTTTGCACATATGAAGAAGTGTGAGTGAGCAAAGGAGAGTCTGTTAAACCTGCTTCTCAGCAAGGATGATATCTTGCCTTTCCCCAACTCAGTTTTCAGTTGGTACCTTGAGGTCTGATTTCAGTGTCTTCTCCTCACTGTAGTGTTAAGCTTATTTAAGGTTTCTAGGTTTCCTCTCACTCTGAAGCAAGCAGAAATGCCAACCCTGGGGTCTCCATCCCTTGGTTTCCACAGTGGGTTTCAAACATTGTTTACTATAACTCACAATATGAAATATATTTTCCGTTATGACTTAGTACATACCTATATATGTGATTGTATGTACTTATATATGTATATACGTCCATAAAAACAGTATTTACCACTGCTTTCTGTGATGCAAT